TCATATCATATCATGTCATATCATATCATGTCATATCATGTCATATCATATCATGTCATATCATATCATGTCATATAATATTATGTTATGTTATATCATATCATATCATGTCCGATCATGTCATATCATATCATGTCATGTCATATCATATCATGTCATATCATATCATATCATATCATATCATATCATATAATAGCATATCATATCATATCATATCATGTCATGTCATATCATGTCATGTCATATCATATCATATCATGTCATGTCACATCATGTCATATCATATATCATGTCATATCATATCATATCATGTCATGTCACATCATATCATGTCACATCATGTCATGCTGTGTTGCATGCTGCAGGGTATCGCGGCGAGGCAGCGTTCTCGCTACCTGCGTTTCGCGCGACCGCCGCCGGAGCGACAGCTGCTGGAGGCGCGCGAACAGACGATGAAGGAGAAGCAGACGTTCCGCATCGTCGGTGACGTCGTCGGATACGCGTTGCTACTGGCAACCGTTGCCGCGGTGGCGTTTGCTCGCGATCGCTCGCACATGCAGCGTCTCAACGAGTCGGTGCGCGCCGCCTTCGTACGGTGAGTGTCGCGCGGGGGCGGTGGACGTTAGCGAGTGATAGTGATCGTGATAGTATAGCAATGTATAGTGATGTTATATCCTATTAGTTATCAGTTATCTTACATTTATCTAGGTCATAATTGCAGACCTAGTTATAGTACTAGTTATAAATTGTCAATTGTTAATTATTGAGTAAATGCAGGGAATACTGGTTACATTTCCACTTGCTTCCACTAACTTGATTGTACTATTTGACTCGAATCATCGAACCACATGTCGCTAATGGAAAATAGGGGTTGCTGCGCTATGTTAGATGCGTGCATGGCTGCTATGTGCAGGGATGAGAATTTTCCTCGGATCTGAGAAATTTCTCGGATTTGACAGTCCCTGGGGTCGATTTTGTGAAACGTCTAAATTCCATGAGAAAGGTTTGAGGGGTGGGGAATAAGGTTAAGGATGTCAATTCTGTATTTCAACTTTCAACAGTACCTTTATTCAATAAGCTTCTTCTTTGTACATGTATGTGTTACATGTACACATAATATGAGAACGTGTGTGTAATATAACAGTAACACAAGTTATGTTGTATTTATTAACAAGTAAAACACATTGTATTAGTTTTAATGAAATGTGTTGGTTTGCCCCCCCTCGGACTTCCTCTGAAAACGAAATTCTTCATTCTGATCCCTGTATGTGTGTGTTTTACAGGACACCCGTCATGGCATTCACGGACATACGCTCGCCTCCTGACTGGTGGACGTGGAGCAATACTGGTCTTCTGCAGGGTCTGTTTCCCGACCCTCACACATCTAAGGTATGTTTGGCATTCTCCTGCCGTATCTGCGAGATCTCTTCACCGTCTTCCTGTTCTCTTGAGGATTTTATACTCGTAGAGTATAAATAGA